AACAAAAAAAAAAAAAAAAGAAAAGAAAAGAAACAAAAGCTGGCTCTAAGCAAGCACTGAGATGTGGGGTCCCAGGTAGGCATTGGAGGACATGGTGGATATTGTTGACAAGATGTCTAGATGGCCATTGGGAACCCTGGACCCAGGGAACATGGATAGATATTAATGATAAGAAGTCTGGGTGGGTATTAAGGGGACAGGTGGGTCTTTTATCCCCTCACCTGCTATCCTATCCTTCTCTCCAGTGACACAACCTAAACGTACCTTCACAACAGTCCGGACCCCAAAGGACATTGCATCAGAGAACTCTATCTCCAGGTGTGTGGCCAACTCCTGTCCCTTCTGCAGAATATTCAGGAAGCAGCATCCACAGAGCTGTTGGACATAAGGGTCTGGAGCTCAAGTGGGGGCTAGAAACAGAATTAGGAAAAGTTGTGACTAGTAAACACATCCAGAAACAGTCTTTAGGGTATAGGACCCAACACTGACTTCTAGTGACTTTAGCTTTTAGGGAGCAGGTAAAGAAAGCAGAACATCTCTATTTTTTAAAGCCTACGAGAACATAGTCAGAGGCAGAATCCCAAACATGGACAGCTGTGGGGAGAGTGATGGAGCCAGGTGTCCCTACACACTCATGACAGGATATGATCTGGTTCTTCTTTCAGGTTGCTCTTCTGCTGCTGGTTTCCCTGGATGCTGAGGGCAGAAATGCAGTCTTAAAGGCCCTGCATACCAGACAGAGACACAGAGTCCCCTCTAGCATCTCCTGACACAAGGAGCTCCCAGTCACCCGAGATAGATTCCTAGTAACACTTCCAGAATAGAGACCCCCCCATTAGCCAGCCCTCGATCATTGAGGCCCCATTATAACAGATCCCCCAAGATAACCCCCCAAATACAGACCTCGTGTCACCCAGAAAGAAATTCCCTGAGTAGCACCTTCAGGTTAGTTCCTGTCCCCAGCCCCTCAGAGCAGACCGCCAATTAACAGATTTTCACACCCCAGTGATGGTGATCCTCTCCACATAATGCTCTACAACAGGACATTCTTGAGTCACTCATCAGTGGGGATAAGAACACTACCATTAATGAAGATTCCTTTCCCCCTTCCCCTTGAAATAACCATAGATAACAACTCCAGAGTAGCAGACCATGTCACTATCTGCTTAACATCATTGCTCTCAAGATGTGAGCTCACGGTCACCCCAAAGCCCTTACACTCCAGATCCCCTATCGGAGACTCCCTTCATTAGCAAAGACCTTGTTCTTACCCCTCAAGAAGAGACCCACCTTAATCAGCCCACTGTCACCCCCAACAACAGACACCAAAATAGTCCTGGAAGTGCTAATTACAGGACCCTCAATTCTTCCCTCTGCTCCCTCAAGAAACCCCCAGTGCCTTGTATGAAGCTCACCCCACATGGCCCACAGAACCTGTGCTGGCCTGGTTCCCAGAAAATTCTCTATTTTTTAAGTAATGATTTTTCCCCTTAGGGGGACCCCAAATTTTGAGATCCCATTCTGGGACTCTGGGGATCCTACACCCCAGAGTATATATATCCCCAACTCCCCCGTGCCCTCAAGACCTAGTCCTTAGAAGACCCCAAATTTTGAACTCCCAGGACCCCCAAATAACAAACTCCCAAATCCCCAGGGAATCCCAAATTTTAAAATCCCCAACCCCCAGGAAGTCCCAATCATGAGGTCCTTGTGCTTGGGAAAGAGGAGACTGCAGTCAGGATGTGTATTCCAGGCTTCCAGATAATCTGGAGTCCTTTTCACAGGCACGGGAGACCCCAAGCAGGAATCACCATCCCTAGAAATTTGAGGACTTCAATGCCTTGAGCCTACGAACCTCAAGAATGGCAAATCCCAAGAGCTCCCGCCCCAAGGGAACCCCAAATCTTAAAAGCCTTCATCTCGAATACATGGAGTGTCCCCCGAGGCCCTGAGGGGATCCCAAGCCTTGAGCCTCCATTTCAATCTACCTTCTGGTCACAAGTCTAAGACATCAAATTTGAGTCATTGGCCCCTCACAGCACTTGGGCCAGACCAACACCCTGAGGGAGAACCTGAAGGCCCCACGGGTCCAGGGCAGACCTGGGGACCCGACCACCAAGGACAGCTAACGACTGTCCCTTCACTGCATGTCCCCAAACTCCGCATGATCCTGTCCTCTTCAATAAAGACGTTTCTATGGCCTCTCTGTGTCAAGTCATTGTTCTGGGGCTACGGGGGACCCTGCCTCTGTACTCTGGCTGGGGTAGGATGAAAAGGAAGAGCTTTCTTCAATCTCGGCTTCTCGCGCAATGGGCACTGGCCTAGTTTGCGGGAAGTTCATCTAGCAGGACCTCTAGTTTTCTTCTCGTGGCCGCCTCCGCGGCGCCTTACAGGAGGGCCCATGCCTCAATGTGGACAGGTTCGGCTTTGGAGTCCTGATTGGTCTGTGCCAGGTAAGACCCGCCTCCATTAAATTCCCAATGGCTCAGAGGCCAGGAATTTCAGCCTATCGTTGAGCAAACAGAGCTCCAAATGGCTGGAAAGTGGACCATTACGACTTCTGAGCGTTTCCATTGGTCTGAGGACTCGCGTCAATCAAGCGAGGGCGGAAGTGCCTGAAAAGGGATTAGGGGTGAGGAAATCTGGAAATTGGAGGGGATACCTGTGGAAGGTCAGTTTTGGGGGTTACCGGGGCAGAGATGAGTATTCAGAAGGGCTGGGAGTGAGGATCCTGGGAAGGTCAGTGGGAGTCCGAGGGGGTTCACCGTGGCACCCTAAAGGATTCAGAATCCGGGTCTGAGGGATTCAAGAAGCTAAGATTTGAGAAGAGTCAGGCTCAGGTCCGAGGGTGCTGGAGTGAAGGGGAACCCAGGAAAGTAAGTCTGAGGGGTTCCACAGTGGGAGGTTCCAAGGAGACTGAGGGTGAACATATCTGAGAAGAATGCGCAGCCTGGAGGCACACGATGCTCAGAATGGAGCAGCTGAAAGGGATGAGACCAGAGGAAGGTCGGTGAGGCTCTGAGTGTTGGAGAGCCGCGCTCATGGTTGCTGAAGTGGGGTATGAGGTATTTAATGTGGCTTTGGAGTGCAGTCCTAAGAGCCTAGAAAAGCTTCCTGTGTGGGCTCAGAGGATGCTCTCAGGGAGGGGAAAGAGCAACTGCGTACTTTGATAGGCATGCAGTGGACAGAGTATTGGAGGAGTGTGCTGGTGCTCATAGTGTTTGGACGTGGTGCCTGGGGGATCATTGTGTGGCTTTGAGAGGGTTTTAGAGGCTGAGTTTCACAGGGTGGTTGCTGGCCCTTAATCAGGTGGAAGACTGGCTCATGGCCTAAAGGTGGGAGGCTTAGTGACTTCATTATGTCCTCCTCTCCCCACAGGACTGGGTGCAAGGAATCGCTGTCAATGGAGGAGCAGGATGCCAGGGTCCCAGCCCTGGAACCATTCAGGGTGGACCAGGTTGTCAGGACAGAGGGTGCACAGAGTGGGGGGGGTGAGATAGGCAGGCTGACTCCTGGTCCATCGAATGGAACTTCCCCCTCCCTCCAAATTCATTTTTTATCCTCAAGAGTCCAGCCCCACTCTCAAGTCTACCCTGGAATGGGCATGTGTTCCTTGACTTCAGACCCTGTCCCAAATGAGGACATCTTTAGCCTTTCCACAAGGTTGCTCAGTAATGGTAGGGTCCCTGTGTGGGTCAAAGACCCACATCTTCAGAGGTGTCTCTCCACTGCAGGCACCAGCTGTAATCTACTACATCCCTGACTTCATCTCCAAAGAAGAGGAGGAGTATTTGCTTCGACAGGTGACCCCAGTGCCTTCTAGCCTGCTTTCTCCCACTTTCAGTATTTCTCTCCAACCCCCAGCCTGTGTATGAGGCCCTCCAAGGCTGCAAGTGAAGACCTGGCAGAGAGGAGGGTGTGACATAGCACCCTTTCTCTGCGCTTCCTGTTCCTCTCTCGGAACTGTTAGGGCCCCTCGGAAAGGGCTTTTTCTCGGGGGGCCTAGGGAAAACCAGACTGATTTTAGGAGGTGCTTATTATGAAACTCAGACTCCCTGTACTGAGGTGGCCCAGGCCAGCCTCTAAAGCAAGGATGTACCTACATCAGATTCCTTGTGCAGAAATAGCCCAGGGCAACCCTAGTGGCTTGGGAATGAAGAAGTCACAGAATGAATACGCCCTATACTGAGATAAAACACCCCCCACAGCAAAAGCTCTATTAAGGATCCTATTGTCTTTTTTTTTTTTTTTAAATTTTGAATAATTCCCACTAAATTTGCCCAGGCTGGCCCCAAACTTGCATTCCTCCTCCTTGGCCTCTGACTGGGATTAACATGAGAACATGTATCATCATGCCTTGCTCAAATCTTGCTATTTTATCTAATCTATCAGGGGTCAGTGGAGGTTTTGAGAGGTTAGAGATATCCTGGTGAGTTGGGAATTATCTCTTATCTATCTATTTATCTTGTAGAGCAGAGTCTAAGTTGTTCAAGCTGAGCTCAAACTCCCAGTGCTCCTGCCTCAGCCTTCTAGAATGTTGGGATTACAAGCATGTGCAACCACACCTGGCAAAAATCCTATCTTGGAGCAATTTATAAATATAGGCTGAAATAGAAATGGATGCTACAGAGTAAACTCTTCCTAGTACTATGGTAGCTCAGCTTAAACCCAGACTCCTAGGAACAAGGTTAACTAGTGCTGAACGGCCCAGTCAATATTCTATTCTTAAGGTTTAGGGAAGGAAGAATTTACAAAACTCGGGGTCTCTGCACTGGCATATCCTTTTACAGCCAGAGAATCTTAGTTATAGAGCACAAATCTTCTCTATGCTGGAGTAACCCACTTGAGCTTGAGTCCCAGGAACAAGTTAGCTGCAGATAGCCCATTCCAGAACTCTGGGGTTTTTGGATTGAAAATTTTACAATCCCTAGATTTACATATCCCAGGCCAGTCCCATAACCATACTGAGGATGAGATTATCAACTACAGTATAGATTTCTTAGACTGAGATAGCCCATCCTAGACCATTGGGATCTTGGCAGTGGAGGATTTTCAAAATATTTTCCTTGCTGTACTGATAATTCAATCTTGCACACTGTCTCCCCTAGGCAATAGGAACAAGAAGGTCCCAGTACTCAGACTGTCCCAAAATAGCCCAAGAATCAGGAAATTGGAGTACAGACTATTTTCTGGACTGAAAGAGCCTAGGCTGGTCCCAGAACTGAGAAGATTCAGACCCATGATTTTGCAGCCCATTTCTTTTCTCAACCCTGGTGGATACCTGTAGTCCTCCCCAGGAAAAAAGACAAAATCCTAGGACTATACTGTCTCAGAGAACGATTCCAACTGAGTCAACAAATTTCTATCCCAGGCAAAGCCTCCTGTATTGGTGTGGGTAGGAGAGTCACAGAGGGATGGTCCTGAAAAGGAATGCTCTGTTCCCCACCTCCTAGGTTTTCAATGCCCCAAAGCCAAAGTGGACTCAGCTATCTGGGAGGAAGTTACAGAACTGGGGTAAGTGTCCCTGGCTGGGGCGTGGGTAGTTCTGGGATGTGAGCTGGGTAGAGAGCTCATGTCTAGTAGTCTTGACATATGGAAGGAAAGGTCCCTGAGGGCCCCAAGGCCAAGAGTATTCTGAGGGGTCATTGGCGGTCCTGAGAGGTTAGAGATATCCTGGTGAGTTGGGATTCTCTCTCAGGGTCCAGTGGACTGGAGAAGTCAGAGAAACTTTGAAGAGTCCAGTGGTGATCTCCAAAGGGTCAGGGCGTCGTTCAAGGGGTCAGGGTGCTTCTAACCACTGGGATATCCCTTGTGGGGGCTCCAGGCTTCTTGGTGGAGTATCCTCAGGACCCCATTTCACTCCCCAGGTGGGCTTCCCCATCCCCGTGGGATGGTCCTTGAGCGGCTGCCCCCATGGCTCCAGCGCTACGTGGACAAGGTGTCTGACCTCAGCCTTTTTGGGGGTCTCCCAGCTAACCATGTCCTCGTGAACCAGTATCTGCCTGGGGAGGGCATCATGGTAACCACATACCTTCACCCCAGCTCCTACAGTAACCAGCTCCTTCCAGACCTCTCAGGGCATCCTGCATAACACCTCACACTCATGGAGCGGCCACTTAACCCCATCCAGCATTCATCTCCCTGCCCCGGCTTGGGAGCCCTGTTTTGACCCAGAGGGTGGGGAGGTACACTCCTGCCCTGCCCAGCCCTGGTGCCCACTCTCCAGCCCCACGAGGACGGACCACTGTACTACCCGACTGTCGGCACCATCAGCCTGGGCTCCCACACCATGCTGGATCTCTACAAGCCACGGCAGCCAGAGGACGATGATGCTACAGAACAGGTGGGCCCCGAGACACTGCCCAAACCCTTGGAGCATCCAACATCCTACATCCTCCGGGATGACCCAATCCCACCCACCTTTGGGATATTCCTGACACCTAGACACCTTCCCCTTACGGGGTGCACCCACTTCCTCCTGGACCCCTGACTCATCTGCTCACGTGTTGCTGTAACTGCCATGATATCCGCAGATACTTCAGTTTTCCTACCTGCTGGCATCTCACAGACCCCCTGATCCCACACCCTCAGTGTTCCACCAGCCCAAGGTCCACATGTCCCTTCAGGCTGCCCAGTATACCAACAGACATTCTTGTCATTAGAAACTCCAACATCATCCCCTCATGGGTGCACCACGATCCTCCCAGATGTCCTGGCTGCCCGCTACACAGGATACCCCGGCACCGATATCCTGCCACTGTGATCTGCATTGTGGGACACCCGCAGATTCTCCTTGCTTCTTGTCATATGACTTTGCTTAGGAACCCCCTAGATACGCTGACGGCTGTCTCTGCGCCATGCATTTCTGACACCTCAGTGTTCACAGATACTCCCTGATCTTCAGGGAGTCCCCTTTAGCTCTGTGTGCTTCTGGATACCCTGACATGCCTCATACTGCAGGCGTCCTCTGATGTCTTCAGATATCCCGCTCCCTGTGGCCTCCCTCACTGTCCTCACCTGGTCCTACCCTCACTCAGTTCTGCCCAGGTGTTCTGGGACAGCTGATCTCTCTCCCTGTGGCCACACCCTGCTGACCCTTTGACGTCCCCATCTGCAGCCTTGTTGCTGCCCTTTGCTGAGAGACTACCAACCCCGGGCTCTTCCTTCCCTGCCCAGCAGTCCTAGTCTGGAAATCCAGATTTTTCACTCCTCAGCCACCAACGTCTATCCCCGGGATCATGCCTTCTCCTTGGCCTTTGCCCTGAGGACTTGCTGACCCTTGTCCTTTGACCCCTGAAAACCTGGTGACTTTTCACCCACCCCAACCTCTGGATACTCATTGACCATCAACCTGCCCCGCAGCCGCGGCCACCACCCAAACCCATCACCTCGCTGCTGCTGGAGCCCTGTAGCCTACTGGTGCTCCGAGGCACCGCCTACACGCACCTCCTGCACGGCATCGCACCCGCCCACTTAGATGCCCTGGACGATGCCTCGCTGCCGGCCAATGCAGCCACCTGCCCCTCTGCACAGCCTGGAGCCTGCCTGGTGCGTGGCACCCGGGTCTCACTGACCATCCGCCGCGTTCCCCGCGTGCTGCGTGCCGGCCTCCTGCTCAGCAAGTGACCAACAGGCTTCAGGGCCTGCTGGGATTCCCGGGCTTCTGTCCCCTGGGCTGCTGTCATTGTGATCTTGGAAAGTTGGAACCGGGGAACAGAGGCAAGCTTCCCTGGGTTATTTATTTCCCAGAAACTATGGGAACAACTCCATTCCAAATAAACAAATTATCTTTCCATCACACTTGGTTTTAGAATTTGTTCGTGCTGATCTTGAACTCACTATGTAGGTCCAGGGTGGCCTCGAACTCTGGCAAGCCTCTGTCAGTCTCCTGAGTGCTGGGATCACAGTTGGGGCCACCAAGCCCCACAATTATGTTAAATGGGGGACAGATACTTGGGCTCCTCAGCAAAGTGCTTGGGTCCTTAAGTGGATGGGTGGGCCCTGAAGGTCAGATGAGTGAGTCCCTGAGGGGAGCAGAGTCCTGGGCTCCGGGTGGGTGGGTGCTTCCTCTGTGGCTTCCCTTGGATTGGTTGGGTGATGTTGGAAGGTTCAGCCTACTGGCGGGCTAAGAAGGAGTTAAATGATTGCTGTCACCTGAGCAGGGCGTCAGGTTACCCGGGTGCAGGTTCTTCTAGGAAGGGGTGGAACCGGCTTTGCCTCTGAGACTCAGACTTCAGGGGTGAGGTCTGCTGAGGAGGTTCCAGGGACACCATTGACTAGGGGAGAGGGTTTACTGGGTGTCCTCACCCAACTCTGTCCCCAATCCCCCAGCTATGTCCCTGACCTCATCTCTGGACTCTAGATTCCCCTCAGAGCCCTTCAGTCACCCCCCAGGAGCCCCTAGGGAGCTGGATGTTGCCGAATGTACCACCTGCCCTGCACTGGGAGAGGAGACGATCAGGTGGGGACTGGGGCTTTTGCAAGTTGATCCCAAGAGGGTGGGAGTGGAGGCTGGGACCATTTGAAGGTAGGAGGTGCTGTGATCACTGGGTATGGGGTTAGGGTGGGGTGGAAAATAAGGCAGTGGCTCACCCAGGGGCCAGTCAATATCTCTTACTTCTAGGCCAGAGCAGGCTCAGGACTCCTGGGACCCTTCTGGGTACTTCCAGGGTGCACTGAGGGGCACTGAGCCTGCTGCCAATGCCCCCCGATTATCAGCACCCGCTTTCCACGAGGAACCAGCTGGAAGCAGACACCGTGAGGTGCGCTGAGGTGACCAGACCCTGTACCAGCCCTGCCTCCTTTCTGTTTCCCAGAATGTGGCCGCTCCCCTGGGGATGAGGGGCTGATTCTAGAGAGGTGTTGGGCATCAGTGGAAGGGGAAACATCTGGAAAAAGCTTCTTCGTCAATCTGTATAAAAATATTTCAGTATTTTACCAAGTAAGACAGAGGTATTTAATAACTGATGCTGGTGCGATCCCATTCTTCCTGGGAGTATCCAGTTCTATCACATCCCCTGTCCAGGCCCCCATGACTCACGTAGCCAAATTTCCAGGAGACTTGAAAACCCATAATCCTTGAATTAGATGCCCACAGCTCTCAAATGGGAGGCCCCTAAATGGGAGCAGCCCTGGTGCAGACCACAGATGGATGCACTCTGCTGCAGAGAAGCACCCAGAAGCCCACAGGCCGCAGAAGAAGGGTGGCAATGGGATTGGAGGTAGTGTCTTGATTGACCCACTGGTTCTGTTCTGGTCCCCTGTGTTCCCTAGCACCCTGTCTCTGGCCACGAAGTGTTGGAGGCTGAACATGACAGCATACAGCTCTGTTTGCTGAGCCTGGGCCTCCGACTGCAGGACCTGGAGCAAGTCCTCAGGGCCTGGACACTGGCCCAGAGCGGGATGGCTCAGCTGCAGGTGGGCAGTGGGAGGCCAGGATGCATGGTGGGAGGCAGAGTCCCAGGAGCAGAGTGGGAAGTGGTCTTATTGCATAAGAAACAGGGGAGGGGGTAACTCCAGGGTGTGGGTCCCTGGTATTGGTGTGTGTGTGTGTGTGTGTGTGTGTGTGTGTGTGTGTGTGCGTGTATGTGTGATGTCTAATCATGTGTCCCAGGCCCTGCAGGCAGAGCTACGAGGGGCAGCAGAACGTGTGGATGCATTGCTAGCATTCGGTGAGGGGTTGGCACAGCGAGGTGAGCCCAGAGCCTGGGCATCTCTGGAGCAGATCCTGAGGGCCCTCAGAGCCCACCGAGATACCATCTTTCGACGGCTCTGGCAGCTGCAGGCCCAGCTGGTCAGCTATAGCCTGGTATGCCCCGTCCTGGTGGTCCCCAACCCAGTTGCCAACCCTCCAACTCCCATGACCTCTGCCTTCTGACTCAGGTGTTCGAGAAGGCCAGCACATTGGACCTGGACTTGGAGGTCGAAGGGGATTCAGATGGGCCAGGACCTGGTGGAGTCTGGGGGTCCTGGGCACCCAGTAACTTCCCCACTCCTGCAGAGTTGGAGTGGGACCCAGCAGCAGATGTTGGGGACCTTGGACCCTTGGGGCCAAAGACAGCCCGGGTGCCAGGAACTCCCTGTGAATTGTGTGGCCAGTGGGGCCTCCTGATCAGGAAACAAGGCCTTGAGGTGAGAGCAGTTCCCTTTGAGGATCTTCCACTCAGCCAGGCAACCGCAGGGCACTTCTGTGTGACCTCTCGCGGGTCCTTGTCGTCCAAGGTCTTGGTGGCTCTGTCTCTTCTTCAGTCTCTCTCTTGATGTCTCCATGATGTCTCCACTCGCATCGCCTGTCTCTGTCTGTGTCTCAGTTTCTGTCTCTGGGAAGTCTTCTGTCTCACTTGCTCCACTCTCCATTTGTCTCTACCTGCATCCTAACCCCATTTCCTCTCATTGTGCCCCTCACCTTCTTGGCTACAGCCACACTCCAGACCCTTTGGCAAATATGCCAATGGCACTGCCATCTCGGGGCCCTGGCTCATGCCCAGCTCCCTCTACCGCATTTCAGTCTTTACTCCTGTGTCACTTCATACAGGCCTGCCCTGGCACCAGTCAGCACTCCTTATCTTTCGGCTGGATTTCTTGACAGACTTACCACAGCTTGACATGGCACATTTATTAATTTTTGGCCTCTTTGGCTGGGATATAAATCCCACAGAGGCCAAGAATTTGCCTGTTTCCATCCCCACTGTGCCCTCAGACCTAGAACCGTGCCTGGTATGTAGTAGATGCTCATTAAATATTTGTTGAGCAGATGAATAAACAATGCCTCTCCCCTCTTGGTTTCTTTGAAGAGAAACAGCCACCCCTACGATGTTCCCCTCTGTGGCTCTTCCACAACCACGTCAGTCTTTGTCACTGGTTCTCCAAGAACTGAATACCTCCCTCTTCCCGCAGGACATGCTTGTGTCAGGGCTCAGCCACCGGGAACACTTAGGAGGTCACCAAAGACGCTCTCTGCTCCGGAAACCTCAGGTGAGCTGGTCCTCAGCCAGGTGGATTCCTTGATGGTGAGTGCCAGAATCCCAACCTAAAAGACCAACCAACACAAACAATAAAGGGACACCCTCCCCCATAACTGAAGATTCCAGCCCGGCTGAACTCAGGACCTCCAATGCTATCAGTTCTCAGTCCCTCCTTCTCTTGGGCTCTTCTTCCCCTACGTGGCCTCCTTATCAGCACAGCTACACACTCACTTCCTATTGGTTTGCCCACCCCAGGGAGAAGGAGTGTGTGCCCTTGACCTTCTGGCAAGCAGCAAAGGTCCCAGTGCTGACTCCAACTCCCCGGCTCGGGTCATGGGCTGTACGCTGACCTAGTCAGGGCCCTCTGATTGGCCACATTGGGGTCCCGTGCCCAATTATGAATGTAGGGGATGTCGGTCAACTTTGCATGAACCTGCAGGTCTAGTAGTAGGACGGATGACTGCTGCCCCCTCCCAAATTACACCAATGTCATCAGGAAAAGGGGGATCATATTGCACAAAGAGTTACATGATACACCTGGAGATGTACCAAGTTTGTGTGGGGCCCTGAGGACAGCAGAATTGCCAGGAAAGGAGAAATAAGACTAGTCTTGTAAATAGTAAAGTCTGTATTTCTATCCATTCCTCTGTGGGCTGCTATCTCTCCTCAGGACAAGAAGAGGCACATGGCTCCAAGTTTCCAGGACATGATGCTGGAGGTGGATGATGGGTGAGATGCTTGGAGTATGGGTCTAGGAGTGTGGGAGACAAGGCTCATGGTGACACCCCACTTGCATTTCTCTTCTCAGGGTCCCTGCTCCTGCACTCAGGGGGCCCAGAACCTTCCTCCTTGTCCTCCTCCTCCTCTTCCTTCTCCTGGTGGGTGCCACCTTGCTCCTGCCCATATCAGGAGGCCCCTGCTGCTCTCACCCCAGATCGGCCAGGACGCCCTACCTGGTGCTCAGCTATGTCAATGGTCCCCCCCCAATCTGAGTACCCAGCCCAGATATGAGTAATAAATGTATACTGTCAAAGGATGTGTGAGGATGTTGGGTGCCTGAGTCCCCAGAACCTGGGATACCACCCCCATGTGTCCGGACATCCCCCTCGTCTTAAGCAGAGCTCGGGGTTGGGTTGGTGTCTCCCAGAGATTCAAGTTGAGGAGCTGATTTGGAAGGTGATGTTAGGAGGAGTCGGTGGGGTGAGCTGGAGAAGGGAGAAAGCCAACCATTGGGTGAGTTAGTGGTTGGTTGCTGCACTGGATACCTGGGTTGCCATCTCACTGAGAAACTGTGTGGAACACACTGGAAGTTGTACCACCCAAGGGGTGAAGAATTTGTGGCATTTGTATACCGGCTCTCATCTCACTGATGAGGACTCTTCCTGGAGACTTGGACTCTCCAGCGTTTCTGGCCTTTCCTTCCCATAAAGGCCCCACCCTCAGGAAGAAGCACAGGTGCTCAAAACAGGAGGCTGGATGCAGGTGTAAGAAGGTGAAGTGGGTGAGCTGCCAAGAGCACCTGCTACAGATCCTGACTTCTGTCCACAAAAGATCTCGGATGGGGTGGGGGCTGTCCAGGGGAGCCGTTACTCGCCCAGGACTGTGAGACCCCTCTTCCTGGGGTCTTGACAACACGGAATGAATTGTCAGTGTTCGACCCTGGAGTTCAGGCTCCTCAAAGCTTAAGGCATGAAGAAAAGGTGTGGGAACAGAATCAGAGTGAAGAACAGAGGCGTGAGCCCTGTGCTGGTTTCCTGGATGTATGCTTGGCAAAGATGTCTGGTCCATGAATTCTCACAACTGCCCAATGATCTGCCCACTGAGTTAGGCTCCAGGAGAGGAAGTCATGGGCTGAGGCCACGCACAGAGCAAGTGACTGAACCCAAACTTCACTGACTGTAAGCAGAGATGGGAGTTTATTTTTGTGGGTAACTGAGAACCTTAGGACAACAGGCACAGCTAGATCACGGACTCAGATGATGTTTCCATCTCTTGGGTTTTGTTTTGTTTTGTTTCTTTTTTGGTACCGGGGAATCAAACTTGGGTCCTTGCACTTGCAAGGCAGGCAGTGGAACCATTGAGCTAGATTCTCTGGCCCTCAGGTTTTTGTTTTTTGTTTTTAGACAAAGTCTTGCTCTATAGTTCAGATTGGCCTTGAACTCGCTGTGTAGCCCAGGCTGGTCTCCAACTTGCAGCAATCCTCCTTGCCTTAGCCTTCCAAGTGCTGGGGCAACAAGCTTGTGGCACCATGTCCAGCTCTGAGTTATTTTATTTTGGCTCTGTTCTTGTCCTGGTGATGGCCAGAGTGCCCCTGAAAACGTCCAGGCTGGGGCTTGGAGTGTGGCTCGGTGGTAAGTGTACTTTCCTACTATGTACAAGGCCCCAGGTTAGAATTTGAACACCTAAAAAGAAAAATGTCCTAAGTCTCGCTCTTTTGGCATGGGCCACCAGGTCCACCTTCACTGGGGCCACAGTCAGCGCCCTCTGAACCATGCAGACTGAAGGTGGTGTGGGGTTAGCCTCCAAAGAAAACCAGGGAAAAGGAATGGACACCGGGAATGGCATTGGGAATGGGCACTGGGAAAGCAGGGAAATGGACACTGAGGGTGTGCGGCAAAGTAGCAGCTCTGGCAGAGACTCTAGATTTAGAGAAAAGTCAGAATGCAAACCAGATCTGTCTCTCTTTAAATGCCAGGCCATGTCTCTGCCTCCAACCAAGGAGGGGGCATGGCATCCCTGGCATGGCCAGCAAATAGGACGAGCAATATAGACCCAGTTGGAGCAAATCCCATTCATTCATCCATTCCATAAATTAACAGATACTGACCACCAGGAGCCAGGCCCTGGTCAAGAAGCAAAGACACGACAGCGAACAAGACAGAGTAAAATCCTTGTCAGGCCGGGGATTTAGCTCGGTGGTTCCACTACCTGCCTCGCAAGCGCAAGGACCTGAGTTCAGTCCCCAGTACCAAAAAACAAAAAAAAAATCCTTGTCCTTGCGGAGCTGCATTCTACCGAGAGAGACTGACAATAAATAAAGCAAGTAAAATTATACTGGTATAGTAGGTCAGGTGGTGCTGAGTATGGAGGAAAAGTAGGCCAAGGAATAGGGGGGCAATTTATCTTTATTTCATTTATATATTTTGAGTAGTACAATTTAGTGCAGTAAAAGAAGGCATCGGAGAGACGATTCTACCATTATAATCACGCTCTGATAGCCAACTGTAGTGAAGAGCCAAGCGTGACACACAGATGCCCAATAATATGTGAGCCACAAATGCAATCTCAAATTCTTGAGTAGTCAGACTAAAACAATAGAAATCTCGGTGAATTTAATTTGAATAACAGATTTTATTTTACCCAGTATGTTCAAAATATCACTTTAACACATAGTAAATATAAAAATAATGAGATATTTTACAATCTCTTTTTCTTACTAAATCTTTAAAATCTGGTATATATTTCACACTTCAGTTTGGGCACTAAAAAGCAGATAAAACGATGTTATTCTACCCAAACAATAAAGTTGCATGACAGAAAAAATATTCTACACTACTTCTGTCTTTAAATTTTAAATTATTTTAAATATAAAAAATGAAGCTTGGTGTGGTGGTACATGATTGTGATCTCAGTACTCAGGAGGCAGAGGCAGGAGGATTGCTGCAAGTCCAAGCCTTGCCTGGGCAATGCAGTGGGTTCAAAACCAGCCTAAATTACATAGTGAGATCTTGTGTCAAAACAAGAACAAAAACAACAACAACAAATTATGAAGTTAAAAATTCAAGCCCAGTGTGGTGGTACATGCCAGCACTCTGGGAGGCTGAGGCAGGAGGATCACAAGTTTGAACCTAGCCTGGGTAACTTAGTGATTTAGTGAGCCCCTGTCTCAAAATAAAAACAAAAAAAATTAAAGGAGGGCTGGGAATGCAGCTCAGTAAGAAGGCCCCATGTTCAATCCCTAGTACTATGCCAAAAAGAAAAAAAAAATCCCTCAGTTGCCTAGTCAAATTTGAAGTGTATTGGATAGGGCAGGCCTCGAAGAAGAGCATTCGAGGTAGAGGAAGAGCAAGCACAAAGGCCCTGAAGCAGCAATGTGCTTGCACGTGAGAAGACCAGAGTGGGCGGGAGTGGTGGTGAGACGGGTAGCAGGGCCAGGTCCCATGCGGTCCCATGGGCATAGTGAGGACACGTCTGTACGAAAGGGGCATCACCGAAGTTCCTTCAGCTTTCATTCTGGTAACTGTCGAGCTTACACAGGAGAGGAAGGAGCAGCATTACAAGTCCTCTTGGACTCATTTCAGCTTCAGCCATTAACAGTTCAGGGCCAATCTCGCCTCCCTCTGCTAAGCATCCACTCCCCACTCCGTAGATCACGTCAAAGCCAACTCTAAAAGTCATATCCTTTTTACCAACAAACAAGCCGCGGGACATTTCTAGAAGATCATGACTGTTTTAAAATCTAATACGTATATTTTTATTTTATTTTGTTTTAAAAAATAATTTTATTTCCTTTGTAAATATAAATAAAATTCAAAATTATTTTAAACATAAAAGCTACGACTATAAAACTTCTAGAATAAATCTGAGGAGGGAAGAAAGCTCCACAACATTGGTATTAGTAATAATTTCTGGATTGACACCAAAAGTGCAAGGAACAAAAGCAAAAAAACAAAAAAACAAAAGCAAAATAAACATCTGAGAAATATTTAAATGTTTCTTGAAGTGTAAAGGAAACAATCAACTAAATGAAAATGTAGCCCATAGAATAAGAGAAAAAATATATACATACACATATATATTATATAAAGAATAACCCCATACAGTGATAAACAGTTAATATTCAAGGTATATGTGAAACTCACAAACTCCATCAACAAAAAAATAAATTACCTCATGAAAATATGAGAAAAAGATTTGTGTACTATTACAATTTATTCACACCAGAGAAACTATTCGGTATTTACACATATGTGACTTATTTATTTCACTTAGGAGTATATCCTCAATATGTATCCATTTTCCTATAAATGAATCTAATTTCTCATTCTTTATGGCTGAGTAGTATTCTTTTATTTTAAATATTTAAAATATACATATATTTAATTATTTTGCTTATATTGGCCCTGAGGATTGACCCAGGGCACTCTATCACTGAGGTAATACCACCAGCCTTTTCAATTTTTAAAAAAATTTTGAGAACGTTATGCTAAGTTGCTAAATTGGCCCAGGCTTGGGCTTGAATTTAGTCCTCCTGCCTCAGCTTCCCAGAGTGCTGGAATCACAGCAGTGTATCACCATGCCCAGCTAGTAAATTGTTATCCTTGATTCTGGAGATCAGAATCTATAAAGGAGACTGGATGTTATTTTTTTCAAAAGCTGAAAAAAGCAGCAATTTTGTTTCATTAATTGCAAAATCTGTGAAGAAGCAGCCATGCACAGGAGTTTTATGAAGTCTCAGAAAAATAACAGCTTCACGTTTGCAACACTCTGCCACACGTGCCAATCTCTGGTGCCTAAAGTGGGTGATGACCAGTGAGACACTGACATTCCTAATCCGAAAACCTGAAATCCAAAATTCTCCAAAATCAAAACCTTCTGAGCATGTGCATGATACCACAAGTGGAAATTTCCATACCAGAAAACTTTGTTTTGTGGAAAAAATTTTAACTTATTAATCTTTGAGAAAGCATGTCATTATATTGCTGGAGCTGGCCTAGAACTCCTGGGCTCAAGGGACCTTCCTGCCTCAGCTTCCAGAGTAGCTGGGACTACTGCAAGTGAATGCCACCGTGCCTTGCTCAAAATTGTTAAAAATATTGTATAGAGTTATCTTCATGCTATATATAAGTGAAATAAATTTCATGTGTAAACTAGGGCCCCACTCCCATGATATCTCAAGTAAGAAATATATATAATGTATAACCATTGGCTCCTTTCTTTCTTTCTTTTTTCCTTCCTTCCTTTTCTTTATACAGTGATGGGATTGAACCCAGGGCCACTGCACTGAGCTACATCTCT